AGTAAAACGGCGCATGCATGGGAATCCACACACACACACACACACGAGGATGCCATCTGAGATGCACACAGACACATGTGGGGCCGTGACACAGGTATGCATCTAACAAGGTCATGACATGCAACGTCATACGTAGGCATGTCACATGTTTCACACCGAGCGCGGGATGGACAGACACGGAATCTTGCAGAGTTGAAGAAGGACACGTAATCGCACATGATCACACACATGACTTACCTAGGGGATGTCATACGTGCCAGCATGTGTGGACACGCCCAGGGTCACAGGATGTCAAGATCAGTAGACGTCGCATATGGTGAATGTCACACACAGGCTCAGAATGCCACAGGAAGACACAGACATATGTAGTAGGGATCATGCACCATGTCCGTGTGGCAGCACATATAGCCATGGACAAGTGGCACTTCAGGCTGTGGCACACATAGACATGTAAAGGCACCGTCGTGTCATACATGATGTCACTGTTGAATTCAGTGAGTGGATGCCATACGTGGTTATACATTGTGAATGTCATATACAGACCCAAGGACACCCAAATAGAGTCACACAGACATCATGACATCACTGCCTCACACCATTACTGACACTGCTCCACAGAGTCACATGTGATTCACACTGAGAGACTTTCACGCAGGTCACATGCGCATCCCCTGCTTTACACAGGCCTCCACTGCCTCCTCCTCCAAGCAGTCCTCCAGGGGCTGACCAAACACACACGGGGATGGGAGATAGGCGGGCATCTGAGACGGGAGGTCAGCCAGATCGGTTCAGGAACTCACTGGGCTGCGGCCCGGCCTGGCCCGGCCGGCCCTGCTCCCCTGCCTTGCCTTCCCTGCAGCTGCCGTACCAGTAACCGGAAAAGCCTCATCCTGACCAGCACTTCGCCCACGCTGCCGCGACCCCACTCCCCGCTGCCGGGCCACCTGGGTGAGACAGGCCATGCAGTCCTGGTGGGTGTGGACCATCCTACAGGAGGCGGGGCCACAGTCCATGGGGCGTGGCCATGGCGCAGAAATAGGGCTGTGTCTGGATAGAGACGAATTCTGATTGGGCAAGAGAGCGAGGGGGCGGAGAACACTGGTGTGGGCGTGGCCAGTCTATAAAGGGGGCGGACATTGGTGGGTGGAGACTCAGGCAGAGCTAGATTGGAAAAGGGATGGGACCATAAGGGAAAGCCCTACCTGAAGGGCGGGGCCGCCCCAGAAGGCAGAATCGTCGCGAAGGGACTTGAATGACTTCATATCATAAAAGTTTAGGGAGGAGGCGTGGCCACAGTGAAGTGGGCGTGGCCTATCCCTGCATGGGCGGGACTAGACTAAAGATGAGGGGTTGTGGTTTGCACCTTGCTTTGGGGCTCAAGATGCCTGATAGGATTGTCCCCAACCCAGTCCTAAAGCGCCCCCTCTTTCCGCCACAGGTAGCAGTCCCTTGGACAGCCCCCGCAACTTCTCCCCCAACACCCCTGCCCACTTCTCCTTTGCCTCCTCTCGAAGGTGAGTGATCCCTTTCCCCAGGGCCCCAGGACCCTAGCTGGACCCTCCCCTCCGCCGTCTGGGCCGCCATCTGTTCCCCTCCTAATTGCACCCGAGCTAGGGCCTGAGGCGACCCGCGGAGTGCCCCAAGGTCCCAGCGGGAGAAAGCTCCCAGCCTTTCGGGCAGGGCTGACGGCTGATCCGCCATGGGAAAAAGGGGGCCGGGCTTATTTTGCAGCCCGAGCGAAAGCGCGTGCGCCCTGGACCCAGGGTCTCGGTCTCCTGGAGCCTCGCGCTCGGGGCCAGGGGTTTCCATAGCAACAGGAGAGGCCCGGGCTGCTGAGATGAAACGCGCAAGCGCAGACTGCGCAGCGCCCATCGAGGGACTCGGTCCCCCAGGTTGGGAGGGGGTGGGCAGTCAGGGCTATTTCTCCACGAGGAGGAATCTCAGGTTTCCCTCGGAGGATCTCTGAGGATTGCTCGATGCACTTAAGGGAATGTTTCTGGGAGCCTTTGGTGAAAACGGGGGAGGTAGAGAGATGCGTCTGCTATGTTTTGGGGAAACTTTGTGGGAGTCACCAGGCGGTTGGGGCAGGTCCCTTGTTGAACGCGCTTCATTGTAAAAATGATGTTTCCACAGCTGCTGCGTTCTAGCGGCTGGGCATGTGGGTTAACGACACCCCGTGTCCATCCTCAGAGTTGAGTGGGGCAGGCCAGGGGGATCACTGCAAAGGCTGAAGACAGAAACTGGGAGTCACGGGGGGCTGGGGGCCCTGGGGAGGGTGGGGGAACGCTCCTCTTGACTGTGGAAAGCTCTGAGGACAACCAGGTGCCGGGATGGGCTCCAGGAATGGGCTGGATATGTCGCCTGCAGGCAGAGAAAGGGGGTCCATTACATGGAGGGTGTCCGTGTACCTGTGAGGTCTGTGTGCCACTGTGGACGTGGACGTGGTGCCGTGTGTATGCGAAAGGGCACAGGAGTTCACTCGCATCCACGGGGATGTGCGTGTGGGCGAGTGTGAGCACGCAGGTGTCTGTAGGACTGTAAACATGTGGCACCACCAGATGGTGTAGTGGTTATGTTGCTGGACCCCCATGTAGTCGACCATGGTTCAAGTCCTGGACCTGGAGGCTTAAAATTCACACCAGGCGCGTGTGCATGCGTGCCCAAGATCCCAAGAGGAGAATGGAGGAGAAGGGATTGCAGCGCGGCCATCCCCCTGGGGGGGGGGTGATTTCTTGCTTTTTGTCCCTCTGTCTCTCGGGCGAGCACACGCACCCTAGAGCAAAAATCTCTCTAAAACAAACGAACAAAAAAACCTCACACTGGGCACATGTACATGTGTGTCCAAAATCCCAAGAGGAGACTGAAGGAGAAGGGATTGCGGTGTGGCCATCCCCCCTAGGGGGTGATTTCTCGCTTTCTGTCTCTCCGTCTCTGTCTCTCTGATGAGTACATGTACCCTATAGCAAAAATATCTCTCAAAAAAAAAGAGACTACACACATGTGTAACCATGTAGAAGCATGCGCGCATGCGTGTGCGACTTGGGAGTGTACACGTGGGTGAGTGTGTGTCTGTGAGCTGGTGCCCAGGTGTATGTGAGAGAGCACATACCAGTGCGTGTCCAGGGAGGCATGTATCTATGTGTGAGTGAGTTCATGGCTGTGTGAGTTTGAGTGTGTGAAGTGAGGGCATCTTTAATGTGTGTGTGGGTGTGAAAATGGAGTGGGCCAGCCCTGAGCACAATGATTATATTGTAGACATAAACAATTAGATCCCTTGGGGCCAGCAGGTGGCGTGGAGGTTAAGGCACTGGACTCCCACGTGGCTCACTATGGTTCAAGTCCCGGTTTCAAAATCACACCGGGCACGTGTGCCCAAAATCCCAGGAGAAGAGTGGAGGAGAAGGGATGGCAGTGTGACCATCTGCCCTGGGGGGAGATTTCTCACTTTCCCCGCTCACTGTCTCTCTGTCTCTCTGGCGCATGCAAGCGGCCTATGGCAATGACAGGAAACAAAACAGCTGGATCCCAAATGGGCGATCACAGTTTGAATGCTGGGCCCTGTGGATTGAAAACCACTGGTTTGGCTGGGGCAGGCGGGTTGTGCAATGGTTCAGGGCGCTGGACTCCCACACGGCCGATGGCGGTTTGAATTTCAGACCTGGCGGCTTGCTTTCTCACTTTCCCTTTCTCTCTCTCTGTGGCCAAATAAAATAATAATAATAATAATAATAAATTTAAAATAATTCTTTAAGAAAAGAATCATTTATTTTATTTTGTTTATTTATTTTAATTTGACCAGAGACAGACAGAGAGAGAGAGAAAGTGAGCCACCAGATCTGAGACTCGAACTGCAATCAGCCGTGTGGGAGTCCAGCACCCTCCATTCTCCTCTCGGGATCTTGGGCATGCACGCACACGCACCCGGTTTGCGTTTTAAGTAGCAGGGTCTGGGACTTGAACTGTGGTCGGCTATGTGGGAGTCCAGTGACATAACCATTACACCATCTGCTAGTCTACCCCTCTGGGATCTTTCTCGTGGGGGTTCACTGGGGGCAGAGCTCTGGGGTTCCTCTGGGATGCCTTTCTCAGATGGGCTTTTCCAGCGCTCCCCAGGGTCCACTCCTGAAGGCCTTTCGGACATGGGGTTGGAGGGGGGGCTTTGGGAAGGAGCAGAGGGAGCCCATCCACCTCCGTCCCCAGCTCTTGGCTGAAGCCCACCTCTTTAGGTCTTTGACTCAGAGGCCCTCTAAGAATCTCAGAGCTCAGATAGTCCCCAGCCGCTAGCTTTTCTCACACCTTGGGGGTGGTGGGAGCGGGGCTCAGGACCCTAATGCCCTAATGGCTTCTGGGCCTGTTGGCCGGGTTCCAGGGCCGACGGACGCCGCTGGTCTCTGGCCTCACTCCCATCGTCGGGCTATGGCACCAACACACCCAGCTCCACTGTCTCGGTGAGTATGGTGGGTGGGTGGCTGGCTGCAGGGCGCCCCCTGCTGGGCAGTTCCACGCAGACCAGCAGGCCCAACTGCGCTTAGTGACGGAGTGGGCTTCTCTGTCCTTGTCTATTAGTGAATGAGAGGTTTCCCCAGGACCTGTTCTCTGCCCTCCACACGCCTCCTTAGGGGTCTTCCTCATTTCTTTTCTTTTTTAAAAATTTAATTCCATTTGTTATTATTATTATTTTTAATTTGACCAGAGACAAAAACAAAGGAAGAAAGCAAGCTGCCAGGTCCGAGACGCGAACTCTGGTCAGCCACAGGAGAATCAAGCACCCTTAACCATTCCACCTGCTGGTCCTGCATTTCTTTCTTTCTTTTTTTTTAGCCGCAAGCTATTTTTAAAAATTCGTTATTTAATTTTATTTATTATTATCATATTTCAATATGAAAAGAGAGAGAGCAAGAGAGAAAGTGAGAAAGCAAGTCGCCAGGTCCAGGATTTGAACCATGGTTGGCCATGTGAGCGTTCAGAACCTTAACCACCACACCATCTGCTGGCCCCATTTTTAAAAAAGAATTATGTATTTACTTTTATTTATTATTTTTGATCTGACCTATAGCAAACTTAAAAATAATAATAAATCAAATAGAATAAATAACTCTTTTAAAACGTAGTTTAAGGTCCAGAGGTGGGGTGGTGCTTAAGGCATTGGACTCTCACATGACCAACCTTAACCACCACACCACCTGCTGGTCCCCTAAGTTTTTTTTAAGAGATAATTTTGTGGGACGAGCAGGTGCCTGGCCACCTGCTGGACACTCCCATATGGCCAACCATGGTTTGAGTCCTGGACCTGTTGGCTTGCTTTCTCACTTTCCCTCTCTCTCTCTGTCTCTATCTGGTCAAATTTAAAAAAGAATGACTAAATACAATTAAATCAATATTTTTTAAAAAATGATTTTTAATATAGAGTGCATGCACTTGCTGGAGAGACAGAGAGACAGAAAGCGAGAAATCACTCCTGTTGGGGGGGGGTTGGCCACGCCACAATCTCGTCTCCATTCTCTTCTCGGGACCGTGAGCACGCACACACACGCCCAGCGTGAGTTTAAGCCACTGGGGCCGGGACTTGAACCATGGTTGACTACTTGGGAGTTCAGCTATGTAACCATTATGTCATCTGCTGGTCCCGCAACTCAAATTTTAACAGGCTCCTGTCCATGTCTGTCACTGTCCCCAACCATATTTGACCTTGCCCACCTACCCATCGGTCACCAGGAATCCCAGACTGTAAACCAGGTCCTGATCCTAACAGGGGCCCCCTCCCACCTGCCCCGGGAGTCCCAGCCCACGGTCCCGGTCTGACCCCATTCCTCCCGCGTCCCCCAGTCCTCCTGCTCCTCCCAGGAGCGCCTGCACCAGCTGCCCTACCAGCCCACCGTGGACGAACTCCACTTCCTCTCCAAACACTTCGGCAGCACCGAGAGCATCACGGACGAGGATGGCGGTCGCCGCTCCCCGGCCGTGCGTCCCCGCTCGCGGAGCCTCAGGTGGGCAGGCGCCCCCCACGCCCCAAGCTGATGGTCTGCGGCCTTGTGCATGGAAAGACCCCTGTCCCTGCAAATAAATGGAAGGGACCTGATGCCTGCCTGCCGCCTCGGAGGCAGGGGGCTGGACAGGATGGGCTTCTCTCCCGCAGCCCCGGGCGCTCCCCCTCCTCGTATGACAACGAGATCGTGATGATGAACCACGTGTACAAGGAGCGGTTCCCCAAGGTGAGGCGGGGCCCGGGGCGGCCGGAGCGCTCGCTCGCGCGCCCTAGCTCCGCGCGCCCCCTGGCGGCTGGAGCGCGCAGCACAGGCTCCTGGCGATGACCGCTCCCTGGACAATGCCCCGGGCTGGCATCTCCGCCGTCTTCTGTCCTTGTCACAGGCCACTGCGCAGATGGAAGAGAAGTTGCGAGACTTCGCGCGCGCCTACGAACCTGACAGCGTCCTGCCGCTGGCCGATGGCGTGCTCAGCTTCATCCACCACCAGATCATCGAGCTGGCCCGGGACTGTCTCACCAAGTCCCGAGACGGTCTCATCACTACAGTCTACTTTTACGAATTGCAAGAGAACCTGGAGAAGCTGCTGCAGGACGTGAGTGCCCCGGGTGGGGGTCCTGGACGGCCCCGGCTCAGTCTCTGCACCCCTAAAGTGTGCATAGCACCCCTTCTTCTTTCTTCACGTCTATGTCCATTCCGGGTGCACCTGCCACGTGCCAGGCGTGGAGCTAAGGAGTCGGGAAGAGACGGGGCCACGGAGGAGACAGGGATTTTTTTTTTTTAGAAAGAGATTTTTGGGGACCAGCAGTTAGCATAATGGCTACGTTGCTGGACTCCCACGTAGTCAACCATGGTTCGAGTCCTAGACCCAGTGGCTTAAACTCACGCCGGGCGCG